TAATGTGAGTGCCGGGGACAGGAGAAGGACGCCGACAAGGAACACGACGACCAGTGCGAACAGCGCGAACAGGCGAGGCCGGACGAGACTCAGGCACACGACGCTCTCTGAAAGAGTCTGTCTGCTCAGCGTAAGGAGAAGAAGCAGGCAGTGGGGAGTCTGGCTGTAACTGTGACTGCGACTGGTGAGGCGGTGGAGTCAGTAAGCTAGGAGGAAGGCCAGTAGAAGACGGGAGACTAAGAACCTGGCGAAGGACCGAGTCAGGTGGCAGCAGAGACGACGGCTGTGGCGGAATGAAAAACGGTCGCCGCTGCACAATGCCTCCAGCACCAGTACCGCCAGCTCCAACTCCCCCAGCGCCAGCACCTCCAGCTCCAGGGTCTCCACCTCCAGCGCCTCTAGCTCCAGCGCCTCCAGCGCCAGCGCCTCCAGCTCCAGTGTCTCCAGCACCAGTGTCTCTAGCTCCAGCTCCTCCAACTCCAGTTCCTCCAACTGGAGGGTCTCCAGCTCCAGTGCCTCCAACACCACCAGCTCCAACAGCTCCAATACCCCTAGTATGAGCACCTCTAGGACCAGCAGCTCCAGCACCTCCAGTACCTCTAGCTCCAGCAGTAACTCAAGCACCTCCAGGACTAGAAGCTCCAGCGCCTCCAGCTCCAGTGCCTCCAGCTCCAGGGTCTCCAGCTCTAGAGTCTCCAACACCACCAGCTCCGGCAGCTCCAGTACCTCTAGTACGAGCACCTCCAGGACAAGTAGCTCCAGCACCTCCAGCTCTAGTGCCTCCAGCGGGAGAGCCTCCAGCTCCTGCAGCGCCACTCCGAAGGCGTGTGCGCTGTGCAAACCACTCGCGCAGCTGCTGCGGTGAGAGAGGCTCCCGCTGGGGAGACAGTCGTGGCGAGGCACCTAGAGGACCTCTAGCAGACGCAGTACCCCGAGGCTCAGCACCCTCAGACTCCGCACCCTCAGACTCTGCACCCTCATGCTCCGCATCCTCAGGCTCAGTACCCCCAGGCTCCGCACCCCCAGGCTCAGCACCCCCAAACTCCGCACCCTCAGGCTCCGCACCCCCAATTTCCACACTTGCAAGCTCAGCACCCCGAGACGCAGCACCCCCAGACGCAACACCCCCAGATGCAGCACCTCTAGCAGAACCTGAGTCTACAGTGACCTCGACAGGTACAGTCCCGGGGAGTGGGTCTACCTGAGACACACCTAAGGGAGCAAGACCCTGGGGGGGGAGGGGGTCTACCGGAGGGGGTCCTAGAGCAAGGAAGAGTGGCGGGGGGAGGAGAGGGGCAGTGCGGTAGGTGAAGAGACGGTAAAAGGGGATCGACTCGTCAAACGTGACATCCTGAGAGGGGAGGACACAGCGCGAGGTGGGGTGGTAAAACTTCCAGCCAGGCGCGTCAGGGGGAAAGCCAAGGAAGACGCAGAGAATAGCGCGGGAGGAGAGCTTGTCCGCGGAAGAATCGAGGACAAAGGCACGAGAGCCCCATACCCAGAACACCGACACAACGCCAACCTTCCCCATCCAACGCAGTGTAGGCGAGGTCTCCGGCAAGGAGACATGGGGCCAGAGGTTGAGCTGATGCGCAGCGTACCGGACCGCAAACGGCCACAGAAAATGGGGAGCAACCGCATGGACCATGGAGGTACGAGCCACCTCCATGACTAAGCCAATGCGGCGCTCAGCAACCCCATTTTGCTGCGGGAAGGCCGGAAGCGTGAACGACTAGAGGATGCCCTCCCCACGACAAAAGTCCCGCAGGAGGTCAGAGGAGAACTCACCACCTTTGTAAGAGTGCAGACGCAGAACAGGAAGGTCATCGCGGAACCGTTCGCGGAGCTGGAGACGGACTGCGCGGATCCAAGGGATCAAGACATCAGGGACCTCACCCTTGCTGCGCAAGGGGAAGACCGTGGTGTAACGCGTGTAGTCATCAACAACCAGCAGAAAGTAGCGCTCGCGGCCCTGTCCACTGACGCGGGCTGGGCCCCACACGTCCATGTAGAGAGTCTGCAGGGGAGCAGTCGTCGCGGGAAACCAGGAGGAGTGAGGAGCGGCGCGCTTCCGCCCCTCGACGCAAGGAAGGCAGGGCGGGGCAGTCAAGGGTGGGAGGGGAGGCAGAGACCTAGGAAGACCAGAAGCAAGGAGGTGGGAGTGCATGCCACGAAGGCAAGGCAAGGAGGGGTGACCAAGTCGGTGGTGCCACACGAGAGTCTGGTGCGACATGAGGCGACACGAGCAGGGGGCTGCTACCGGACCTGACGCGGACACCTGAGCAGACGCAGCTACCCGAGGAGGCTCGGTAGTCAGTGTGTGCAGACTCGACCCAGGCCGACGGGTGAACGTGGCCAGGTGACGGCCCGTCCGTGTACACATGCAGATCAACACACGCCGACCCCCAGGAGTGGTGGTAGTGACCATCGCATCTTGGAGGGCAGCGGTACTCACCAAGTTCGTAGAGAACGAGGGCAGGTGAAGACCTAACAGTGAGCCGGACGGAACCGCCGAACACGGGAGAACAGTGGAGGAACGGGCAAGAACTGGGCCCCATGAGGAGTCAGCCAGTCTGACCGAAAGAGGTGCAGGGAGTGGAGTGAGGGTGGTACTTCCGCGAAAGAAACATCAGGAAGCACCTGAGTCAAGCGTAAAGGTGTGCAAGGCCTCAGCAAGCACAGTACAAGGGAGAGCAGACTCACTAGCACTTAGAGCAGCAGCCTCCATACCTGGGTCGGGCGGCACACACAGGTAACAGTCACCCTCAGCACTAATAGACAAGGCATACATGGCAGCAAGGATAGCATCATAGTCAAGAGCAAAGATATCAACTCCAAACCTAAGCAGCTCTGACCAGCGGGGGCGCTCAGCCTCGTCACCAAACTCAGCGTGCCAAGCGTCGTCAAGGCGGGAGAAGCAGCGGTGCTGAGAGTGAAACTTCCTGCATGTCTGACCAGCACGGTCACCCGTGCGAATGACATACGGGCAGCGAACACTACCCCCAGACGCCCCATGCTGAGCAAACCACTCACGAAGCTGTTGGGGCGTAGGGGTCTCTCTCCGACGCTGCTGTTGCTGCCTCTGGCCACCGTCAGAACCTCCCCTCTGAACAGCTCCACCCCGACCGCCACCACTGCCTCTGCCAACACTCCCACTGCCGCCACCACCGCCACCCCCACCGCCGCCACCACCGCCACCCCTGCTGCCACCGCCACCACTCTTGCCACCCTTGCCCTTGCTGCTGCAGCGCTTCCCACTAATAGCAGAAGCAGCCCCGACATCCTCAGCACCAAGGATGTCAACAGCAGCAGCAGAGGCGTAGGAGGGGGCAAGGGGGGAGGGGGAACACTCCTTAAAGAAGGGTGTGCGAGGAGTGCCACGAGCAGCACCTACAGCGACTACGCTAGCCTTAGCTGCAAGGAGGTGCTTCTCGAGCAGGTTGACAGTGAGGTCTGTGGGGTCACGTGCGAGAAAGTGGTCCCAGACAGCGCGAAGAGAGTCAGGGAGGCGGGTGACTATGAAGTAGAGAGTGGTGTACATCGGGGGCGGGTTCCTGTCAAGGAACTCTGTTGGGAGGGCAGCGCGGTAGCGAGCGTCGCTAGTGCGGAGGTGGGTAACGAGGTCCTCGACAGTGGCAAAGGCTGACAGCTCGGGAAACAGGTAGGGCAGTATAAGGCGGCCTAGAGCAGCAATAGCAGGGGAAGAGTAACGAGCGACTACAGCGTCGTACAGGGCTTTAGTAGTCTTGTGCTGGCCAAAGTGAGCGCGTTCGGCTAACGGCAGGTGGTTGTGAACGGCTAAGCGAGCAGCAGCGTCACGGGTAAGCCACTGTGAGCGAATCGCACTGTCAGCTGTGGCGGGAGGGGCGAGAGAGGCTCCATACGTGTGGTCGAACAACGAAACGCTGTCTCTAGAATCACTCAGTAGGTACAGATGTAAGTCGTCGAGCCACGTATCGAACTGGATCAGACGGCCCTCATGATCGAAGGTGAGTACACTGAGAGAAGCCATAGCGGGCAGAGCAGGGTGGCGCGCGACGAGCAGGGCAGCACGTAGGCAGGGCAGCGCGCAAGTACTAGGGAAGCGCGCAGGACAGGGCGGGGCGGCGCACGGCTAGGGAAGAGCGGCGCGCGGCCAGGGCAGGGCAGCGCAAATGGCAGGGCAGGGCGGCGGCCAGCAGGGCGGCGCGCAGGCAGGGCAGGGTGGTGCGGCGGCCAGCAGGGCAGTGCGCGGGCAGCAGGGCGTCGGCCAGCAGGGCTGCGCGCAGTAGGGCGGGCAACAGGCGGGCTGTGCGGGCAGCAGGGCGCCGGCTAGCAGGGCTGCACGCAGCAGGGCGGCGCGCGGGTGCAAAGGGCGGCGCGCGGGCTGCAAGGGGCGGCGAGCGGGCTGCAAATGGCGGCGCGGCGGGCTGGAAAAGGGCGGCGCGCTGGCTGCAAAAGGCGGCGCGGCGGCCAGCAGGGCGGCGCGACAGGCAGGGCAGGGCGTCAGGGTAGTGCGACTGGTGGGGCAGCGCTCTGTGGTGGGCCGTAAAAAGTCGGTTCTAGAACAGGACCTGCTCTGAAACCATGTCAGATTACTGAACGTGAATGAAAGAACTATGAATGAGATGGGCTCAAGTACCAACCCTAATTGGGTTTACCCCTTATGGGCTACCCCACTACAGCCTACACAATGTAAGCACTATAACATTTTGACAATCAAAAGGATCTAGCATGTAATCAAGTGCTTCACCAGTGAACCTGCATACAAGACTGGTTAGGCTCTTTGCTTTGCGCTTTGCAAGCAGGGCCTGGAAACCTGGAGCCCGACTAACTAGTAACCATGCTTCATTGCACGTATGCTAAACAACTCAGAGCCAAGCACAACGCTTGGCTAAGTGCAGCAGCAGCGGGCCTCGCCTCTTGACAGCTTGGTTGGTCCACATGCAGAGCATCTGGCAGCCTGACTGGTACCGGTAATATAACTAACAAGAACAACCATTTCAATGCAGTCAGATTAACTAGGCGCAGCACCTCGCCTCCCCTCTGGACAGCTTGGTCCACATGCAGAGCATCTGGCGCGGCGACTGGTAGTGGGCGGTGAGGTAGTCGTCCATGCAGCCGAACTGGCAGAAGCGCCAGTTGTGGATGTAGTGAATGGTGTTGTTGATGCCGTACTGCACCACCCACATGCCCATGCTCACGTCCTCCATCTTGAATATCTGATGGGGGAGAGAGAGAGGGGGGGGGAGATGGAGGGGCGAGTGCAATGAATTGGTGTGTGTGCTCAAAATCACTCTTGGGAAGGTTTGCAGCAGAGGGCAGGGAGAAGGGAGAACAGGGAGGAATGTGCAGAGGGACTGGAAGCAAGAGGCTGGAGATACCATTGCAATGAGGGCGACGACCAAGCCACGAGCGACATAAGCAGGAATGGGTTTACTGAGAACAGTGGATGCCTGAGGATGCAGGGAACCATTTCAATTCAAACCCCGTCAGCACTCCACCCACCCTTAACATCTAGTAGTCCTTCATTCTACCCACCATGGGGTAGAATGCACACCGCCCAGTGTGCACACTAAGCAACCCGCCCACACCACCGCTCTCAACCCACCCGCAGCATCTTGTACTCCTTCATGCGCACGATGAAGTCAGCAATGTCGCGTGTGACGATGTACCCCGGCCCGTTGGCGTACGGCGGGTAGTTGGTCTCCGGCCACTCCTGGTTTGGGCCAGGGGGATGGGTGGCACAGTGCAAGCATGAGGAGGGGATCGGGGAAGGGATGGGCGCAGGGATGGGGTGACTAATGAGTGGAGACTCCAGTATCCCGTACGCTGATTACCCGGGCCCGCTCGTGTACAGCAGGTAGATGGTCTCCGGCCACTCCTAGTAAGCGGGGAAAGGGGATGGGCGGCAGGGCACAGGCACGAGGGCAGGCCAGGGGCGTATTTGAGTCAACTCCAATGTCGCATACGATCAGGGTGGCAGGGTGCAAGCATGGGGAAATGGCCCACTGTCCAGATGCGCTCCTTCATTTGTTTCTCCCTCGCTCCTCGCTACTCACTTCCTCAGCCGTCCCATCCCTCACCTCTTCTGAGACGGCCCATTTCCCTCTCTCAGAGGCTTGTGGAAATCGTTGATGTTGCCCATGTACAGCCCGCTCGCATGGTCACCCCCTTCCCACCCCCCGCCCCCCTCACCCTCTCCTTGTCTCACCTCTTCAGACACCGCCCATTTGCCCTCCCTGAGCGGCTTGTGGAACTCGTTGATGTTGCCCATGTACATCCCGCTGGCGTGGTTGGCGAATCGGATCTCGTCGAACACGGCGTCCAGGCGCACAAAGTTGTCGTCGTCCACCTTCATTATGTAGTTGGTTGATACATTTCGGAGCTGGACGAGGGGGGTGCAGCGGGGTGGGAATGGGTGAGAATGGAGAAAAAGACGTCAGTAAAAGGGGGACGGGCGCCCAGGCGCACAAAGTTATCATCGTCCACCTTCATTATGTAGTTGGTCGTCACGTTGCGGAGCTGGGAGGAACGGGGGGGGGAAAGGGGTGTGAGTGGGAGAAGGGGGACGAAGGTACTTGAAGACCTGCGATGTTAGAGGGGAAGGGGGGAGGAGGCATTTGAACACCTTGAACTCCGTCGAGGACGGTCTTGAGGAGAGAAGGGGGTGCATTAATGCGTGACACCCCAACACAGGCAGCAATGAGAGAACAGGGCAGCAATGAGGTAGCACTGAACCCAGGCAGCTCTAACCCCACCTGCGCGCGCTGCAAGCACTGCTCACCCCGAACTCGCAGATGGCGATGGTCTTGAGCACCACCAGGTCGTAGCGGTCGATGAATGGCAGCACCACCATGTCTCCGTACAGCGCTGCCTCCTTGTGCACCTCTACGTTCACCTGAATGCTCGGATGCTGGTGAGATGGGATGAGATTGGGTGGAGAGCGATGAAAGTAGGTGGTGAGGGAAGGGATGAACGGCAGCACCACCATGTCTCCGTACAGCGCTGCTTTCTTTTGCACCTCCACGTTCACCTGGATGCTCGGATGCTGCACATTGGGGGGAGGGGTGGGATCGGGTGGAGAGGGATGTGAGTGAAGGCAGCACCACCATGTCTCCGTACAGCGCAGACATTGGACATTGGACTTTAGCACATTGGGATGGATGGGGGAATCAGGGGCACGCACGCAACACCTGCATGCTTGCGAGAGCTGCATGCATCGCCTTGGAGTGAAAAAGCCGCCTTTTGAGCTGAATTAACCAGCCCACTGCGACAAAAAGTCAACAAACCAGCCTACCGCCTCGCGGCCAGAGGTGCCCACAGGAGGAAGCAGCACGGCACAGAGGGAACATACTATACTGGCACCAGCACATTAGCCCACCAGCTCCAGGAAGTAATCGCGCGACAACCTTTTTATCGCGCCCCTTGAGGCAGCAGCGACTCTAGCAGGAGGGGCAGCCATTCATCAACGCAAGGAAGAACGGCACCGGAACCTCCCCATGTCGCTTCTTGAGGCGCCTGTAGCGCCTCTCTCTTTGAGCTGCTTCAACGCTCTAACAGAAGAGACACAAGGCAGCAACTCACCAGGGCGAGGAAGAACCGAGCCACGACCTCCCCACTGCGGATCTGAGGGTGCTGCAGCCACGTCTTGCGCACAGCGGTGCGCTCGGCAAAGTGGTTGGTGGCGGACAGGATGCCGATGAACATGCTCACGTTCGCGTCCCTCCTCACAGCCGGTGCCTTGAGCGACTCGCTCGCCTCCAGGTCCGCCGTGCGCAGCGGTGGGGAGAGCGGCAGCGACGTGGCGACGAATGACTTGAGACGGATGGCGCCGCTGATGGCCACCGCTGTGGCCTCCTCTAGTGGGTTGCCCTGTGGAGTGGGAGGGTGTGATGGGGGGATTGAGGGAGGGTGAGAGGGCGGAAGGGTGGGGGGAGGAAGGGTGATGATGAGAGGCAAAAGGGAGATCGGGAGCAACGTGGCGACGAATGACTTGAGACGGATGGTGCCGCTGATGGCCACTGCTGTGGCCTCCTCTAGCGGGTTGCCCTGTGGGTGACGGGAGGCAAAGGAGAAAGGGTGCGAGGGAGGGAGGGTGTGAGTGAGGGAGGAAGCGTGAGGGAGCGTGTGATGGAGCGTGTGAGGGGGGGAATGCAGTGCGACTCACCGAGCGGTACTGGAAGGACGCGACGTGGTTGCCGTCGACGGACACATGAAAGCCCTCCCAGCCGGCGCGCACAACGAGCACAAAGAGGCGGTCCTCATGGAAGGGGAAGGGCCACTCCTCCGTCACCTCCTTGTCCGCCTGCTTCATCACCTGCCAGGGCGTGCCGAGGGGTGCAGTACGGTGCAGAGGGGTGCAGAGCGGTGGAGTGGGGTGAATAGGGGTGCATGGGAGTGGATTGTGGTGCACGCGCGCACCAGCTGACGCCACTCTCACCTGCTGCGGCCATCCGGACAGCTTCTTTGTGTCCTTCAGCTGCTACCACCTTGCCTTCCACACACGCCCCTCTCACAGGTCCCGCTCACGCCGATGCCACCCCACCAGTTCCTCCATTTGCATGAGCTGCCTATCCGCGCCTTGCATGGCTTTCCCCTCCCCACAAACTGCCCTCGCTGCTCCTTGCATCACACGCATCACTCTCACCTGTCGATGCCACCCTGACAGCTTCTCCGTGTCCGAGTGGTGCCATCTGCGCCATCTCACAGCCCTCACTGCACACACACACACCAGCTGACAGTGCTCACTGCACCCTTGCGTCGCACACGCCCCTCTCACCTGTCGCTGCCACCCCGACAGCTTCTCCGTGTCCAGGTGCGTGGTGCCATCCGCGCCTTCAGCGCCGTCCATCCGCTCCTGGTCCTCCTCTGTGCGCGCCCGCTCCCGCGACCACTTCTCACACCGCCGCTGCCCGTCCACTGTTGTGGGGACAACAGAGAGGAGAAGAGGGGGACGGGTGAAGAAGGGGAGGGGTGACGAGAGAGAGGGGTGAACTGCAGGAGGGTTGAAGAGCGGAGCGCCTGAGAACAGTCAACCCACCCCCAACGCTGAAGAACAGTTCACTCACCCCCAAAGTTGCACAGCAGTCACACCCCAACTCACACCTCCCTCCCTCTGCACCCACCTCTCTCCCTCTGCACGCACCTCTCTCCCTCTGCACGCACCTCTCTCCCTCTGCACGCACCTCTCTCCCTTTGCACGCACCTCTCTCCCTCTGCACCCACCTCTCTCCCTCTGCACCCACCTCACTCCCTCTGCACCCACCTCTTTTCCCCTGCACGCACCTCTCCCCCTCTGCACGCACCTCTCTCCTCGTGGTACGTGGAAGCAAACCCTTGACACCGCACAGACTCGCCCCACTGCCCGCGGTAGCACGTGTTCTGCTCGATCACCCGCACTGCCCCCACTGCCCGCACTGCCCGCACTGCCCCCACTGCCCGCACTGCCCCCACTGCCCGCACTGCCCGCACTGCCCGCACTGCCCACACTGCCCGCACTGCCCGCACTGCCCCCACTGCCCCCTCCCTGCACCCTTCTCTCCCCCCTTCCTCCATCTCTTCTCCCCCCTGCACCCACCTCTCTCTTCCTGCACCCACCTCTCTCTTCCTGCACCCACCTCTCTCTTCCTGCACCCACCTCTCTCTTCCTGCACCCACCTCTCTCTTCCTGCACCCACATCGCGCCCCCTGCCCCCACCTGACTCCCCACGCCACGCACCTCGCTCCTCGTGGTATGTAGAAGCAAACCCCTCGCATCGCACAGACTCGCCCCACTGCCCGCGGTAGCACGTGTTCTGCTCGATCACGCGCACCCCCGCACTGCCCGCACTGCCCCCACTGCCCCGCACGCTGCTGCTGCCCCCCACGCTGCTGCTGCCCCCACTGCCGGCAACAACACTACTGATTCCGCTGCTGCCTCTGCTGTCGCCCGTCAGGTGCGCGTGCAGGTGGTATATGCGCGTTGCCTCCTCGCCCTTCACCACGACCAGGCCCTGGGGAAAGGGGGTGGGGGGGTTGAGAAGGGGTTCCAGAGGGAGGATGAGGAGAGTGCGGTGATCGAGAAGGGGAGGGGGCGGAGGGAGAACGGGAGAGGGGAGCGGGGAGATGAGGAAGAAAGGGCATGCAGGAGGGTGAAGGCGGGAAGCTGCTGCTGCACGTGCTTCTGCTCCCTCAGGGGCGAGTGCAGGTGAGGGAAAAGGGGGGAGGTGCTGCTTGAGAAAGCGGCTTCTGAGTCCAGGTGAAACCTTCCAACACTTAGAGGTCCCCTCAAGGGCAAACACAGGTGAGGATAAAAAGGGCAGATACTGCTTGAAGAAGCGGCTTCTGAGTCCAGGTGAAACGTAAAGTCCCTTCAGGAGCGAGAGCAGGTGAGCGCTTTTGAGTCCAGGTGAAACTTTTCGACTCTTACGGTCCCCTCAGGGGCAAAAACAGGTGAGGGAAAGGGAAAGGTGCAGTGGACGCGTGTCGTTCCCTCCCTCTGACCAACACCAGACCCTTGGGGGTAAACGGGGGTTAGAGGGGACAAAGAGGGGGAGAGGAGGGGAAGAGGGAGGAGAGAGGGGGGATAGAGTGGAGACAGAGGGGGAGAGGGGTGAAGAGGGGGGAGAGAGGGGGGATAGAGGGGAGATAGAGGGGGAGAAGGGGGAAGAGGGGGGAGACGGGGGTTAAAGGGGAGGTAGACGGGGAAAGGGAAGGCAGAGGGGGGGTAGCAGAGAGATGAGGGGGAATAGGTTGGCGATGTGGGATAGAGGGGGGTAGAGGGGGGTTACAGGGGGGATGGAGGGGGGTTACAGGGGGGATGGAGGGGGGTTACAGGGGGGATGGAGGGGGGTTACAGGGGGGATAGTGGGGGGGTACAGGGGTGTTAGAGAGGGGTTGGAGGGGGGATAGAGGGGGGTTACAAGGGGGATAGAGCCCAACCCTATCAGTTTCGCCAAGCCTACCATATTCTCAAACCCAACCAGGAAAATGCCCCTCCCTCTAGCTTCGCGTCTCCCACTCACCACCACCCCCCCCCCCCCACTCACCAGTATTTCCAGCATAAACGACAGCGCCGACCCTTCACTGCCCGTCCCCCTTCCTCCCGCCGCCACCTCCCCCGCGCCCGCCTCCCTCGCCGCAACTTCCGTCCCCCCATGCCCGGGAGCCGCCCCCCCACGCCCCGCTTCCGCAGGCGCGGACGGCACCATGCCCACCACTGTAATCGCGGATCCCACGCGCATCCCGCACGGCAGCTTAATATCCCCGCTTTTGAGTTCCTCATCCCCCTCCGTCAGCACTATAGCTCTCTGACACGTGTTCACAGCAGCCGCGCCCTCCGCGCGCGGGTCCTTCTTCCCCTCGCGCTCTAACGTCTCTAATCTCTCCATCTCCGCGCTCATCTCCCGAAGCGCCATCTGCCCCGCTTCTAGCGCCTCCACGGACGACTTTTCCAGCACCGACCGCCGGCTAAACGGCCCCGTCCGCCGCTTCTTCTTCTTGACGGCCGGCAAGTTAACTGGCAGAGGCTTCTGCCGGCTCTCCACCTTCTCCCCCGACACCTCCTCCGGCTGCTTCACCTCCTCCGCGCGCCGCGCACCCGCGCCCGCTCCGCCAACCCCTCCGCCAACCCCTCCCCCGTCTCCCACTCCCCCCCCGCCTGCGCCATCCGCGGCGGAGGCCTCCCGCAGCCCCGCGGCCATGCGCTGGCGGTCGGAGCCCCACGTGTTGCGCGTGAAGGTGGCGCGCAGACGGTCCATGACGAAGCGGCGCTTGCCCGTGTTGGTGTCCGCCACCGTCAGCACGTCCATCTGCCGGTCCGCCTCGTGCTTCAGCTTCTCGTCCGTGGATTCTGGGCTCCAGGGGCTGCATGGGGGTTGTTGGGGGGAAGGGGAGGGGGAGGGTGGGGGTTGGGCCGGTCCGCCTCGTGCGTCAGATTCTCGTCCGTGGATTCCGGGCTCCAAGGGCTGGTACGGGGAAACATGGGGAGAACACGGTGAGAAGGGAGAGGCTTTTGAGGCGCCTCTAAAAGCGTCCGTGGATTGCGGGCTCCAGAGACTCTGCGGAAGACATGGGGAGGCACGGCACGGTGAGAGAGGAATGAGCAGAAGAAGCGGGTTGGTTTGAGTGTGCTCGCGTCGCCGACGGTCAAGCGTTCATCCGTTTCGGTAAACCGTCAGGCAATACGCGTCGTCGTGCTTCACCTTGATCGCATTCGTTGCATGTCGGCTCCAGAGACTGCCGGTTGCGACGACTGCCGGTTGCGACGACTGCCGGTTGCGACGACTACTGGTTGCGACGAGAGCCGGTTGCGACGACTGCCGGGGTGGATGCCGTCGGATGTATAAGTGACGCCTCGTCGACGCGTCATGGTCAAGCCGGCGACCGGTCAGTTATCGAGGACATAGCCCACTCGAATGTACTAGGAACACGTTACCTGAATGCGTTACGTTACCCACTCGATGGTGCGAGTTGCTCTCTGTGAAGTGAATGCTTTACGTGAATTCTCCCCCATCCGCTCACCCGCTTACCCGCTCACGCGCTCACCTCTCAAGTAGTCCTTTCGGCGCAACGAAGACCACCAGCATGAAGATACCGGCGGCGACGGCTAGCAGGCGGGCGAGCCGTCGCTGCGTCAGCGCGCCGGTAAACATGCCGGCGCCGGGTTTAATCCGCTCGCGGAAGTCATCGCGGTGGTGGTGGTGATGGTGGTGGAACGTCGTCGGTACCGCCGCCTTCCACGTTGTCACTGCTGCTCGCGGTCTGCCTGGCGGCGCTCCCAACGCCGTACTTCTACTCACCGCCATTCCTGCGCGGCTCGGAGCTGCTGGTTTCAGATCGTAAGCGCTCTCCGCTTTTAGAAGGCAGAAAGTCGACAATAAATAGAGAGGCTCGAGAGATTAGGCGGTCGGCAAGCTTAGAGTTGAATCGAATTCAAGGTTTCGGCATAAATTACGGTTCTGCACTGATCTCATACGACGTGGCAGGACGTGCAGGAATATCGAAGCGAGGAGGATATTAGGCACTGAAAAGGCTTCCTGATCGAGTGCGTCAAGATTGTTCTAGCCTGGACTCGTAGCCAAGGTGCCCAGTGTCACTAGTCACCGTATTATCGACCTCGAGAATTCGTAAGCCGAGCTGCTGGGAGGAGTTTCAACGAGCTTTGCTTGCAGTGTTGGTTGGTTGGTTGTTGCTGCTTGTTTGAGTGAGCTAGAGAAAAACCGCCGAGCTTTGTCACCTGGGCGACAAGGGAACGACAAGGGAAAGAGAACTCGAGAGAGAGAGCGCGTGGGTGACAAGGGAGCGACAAGGTCGAGGCGAGGCGACTCAGGCGAGCCGATGAAACGAAATCACTCCCAGCCGCACGCTGCCTTACATGTGTCGCATGCACGTTGGTTCTCCGGTCGTCGGCACCTTCGCAACAGCTCTCTGGTGGGCCGACGACCCACTCGCGAAAGCGCAACTTGTAGCGAAGTGTCAGCGCCAGTCGCAACTTTGGGAATCCTCAAGCTCCGAGGTCGAACCGCTCACCCTTGCGGCGGAGATTCGCGATGAGCATCGCAATGCAGTCCGTTGACAATCCCGCCAAAACTCTGTCATACTCCGTTTTCACAATGTGCGATAAAGGTTAGGTAAGTGATTCCCTAACTTTTCACATTACTTGATATTTGTAATTACACATTTTGAAACCTATAGCACAATAACCAGATTATGGAGATGGATTTCAAGCTGTAGAACTGCCACAAATTCAGAAGCTTCTGTTAGACTAACCAGATATTTTTTTGAAAGCAGAATTCTTTATAAGGTGACTGTTAAATGACAATATGATAATTAAATAAAATAAAATGCATATAGTCATAGCCATGTACTGTGAGGGGAGCAGTCCCTTATTAACGGCAATACAGGCATCGCTACAGTTGCAGTTTTTATTGCGATCCCTTCAGTTACCACGTTGCAGCGCGAAACCTTCAAGACAGTTGCGACATGCGAAGCAATTGTCAAATGTTGTAGTCTTAGTGATGTGTGTTATATGGGGTACAACTGTTAGGGTTAGGTTTATGTACCCCAACCAACCTTAGTGAAACCAACACTTTCATTCTTGACATGGTATCACCTAGGTTAGGATCCAGTAGGTAGGATCCCATTCCTCTCGTTCACGTCCGTAGCGCCCGAGCCTGTCCCGTACCCTAGTGTCTGTTACGCCCGTACTGTCCCCTAGCGCCTCTCGCGCTCGTCTCTCTCGTGCCCTAGCGCCTGCTGCGCCTGCGTCGCGTCGCCCCTGCCATTGCCTCGCCCCTGCTGTCCCGTCCCGTCCCGTCCCATCGCCCCTGCTGTCCCGTCCCGTCGCACCTGCCGTCGCGTCGCCCCTGCTGTCCCGTCTGTCTGAACATTATAGCTTATACATTTGTGTAGGCTGTAGTGGGGTAGCCCATAAGGGGTACAACCCAATTAGGGCTAGTACTTGTACCCAACTGTTTGCTAGTTCATTCATTCTCGTTCACAACATTGTAACATGGTATCAGAGCAGGTCCCCTAGGACCGGTCTGTTTACTGCCCTGCTAGCCTAGGCCCGCGCCCATTGCCCCTAGGCCCCGGCCCGTCGCCCCTAGCTCGGCCCCTCGGCCCCGTTGGCTCCGTCGACCCCGTCGCCCCCAGCCGCGCCCCTCGGCCCCGTTGGCCCCGTCGATCCCGTCGCCCCTAACCGCGCCCGTCGAACCCTAGGCCCCTAGCCGCGCCCCTAGCCGCGCCCGTCGAACCCTAGGCCCCTAGCCGCGCCCCTCGGCCCCGTTGGCCCCGTCGACCCCGTCGCCCCTAGCCGCGCCCCTCGGCCCCGTTGGCCCCGTCGACCCCGTCGCCACTAGCCGCGCCCGTCGACCCCTAGGAACCTAGCCGCACCCCTCGGCCCCGTTGGCCCCGTCGACCCCGTCGCCCCTAGCCGCGCCCCTCGGCCCCGTTGGCCCCGTCGACCCCGTCGCCCCTAGGCGCGCACCTCGGCCCCGTTGGCCCCGTCGACCCCGTCGCCCCTAGCCGCGCCCGTTGACCCCTAGGCCCCTAGCCGCGCCCCTCGGCCCCGTTGGCCCCGTTGCCCCTAGCTTGGCCCCTTGGCCCCGTCGACCCCGTCGCCCCTAGCTCGGCCCCTCGGCCCCGTTGGCCCCGTCGCCCCTTGCCGCGCCCGTCGACCCCGTCGCCCCTAGCAGCGCCCCTCGGCCCCATTGGCCCCGTCGACCCCGTCGCCCCTAGCCGCGCCCCTCGGCCCCGTTGGCCCCGCCGCCCCTAACTCGGCCCCTCGGTCCCGTAGGCCCCGTTGGCCCCGTTGCCCCTAGCGTCGCCCCCCCCCCGCCCCTAGCTCGACCCCACGGCCCCGTTGGCCCCGTCGACCCCGTCGCCCCTCGGCCCCCGGCCCCTCGCTCCTTGGCCCCCCGGCCCCTCGTGGCCCCTCATGTTTGGCCCCTCGGCCCCTAGCCACTAGGCACCAAGGCCCCTCGGCCCCTAGGCACCTCGGCCCCCAGGCCCCTCGGCCCCTAGCCTCGGCCCCTCGGCCCCTTATAACCTGGCCCCGCGGCCTGTCGCCCCTTGGCCCCTCGGCCCCTCGGCCCCTTGGCCCCTCGGCCCCTTGGCCCCTCGGCCCCTTGGCCCCTCGGCCCCTCGCCCCTAGGCAACAGGCACCTCGGCCCCTCGCCCCTTGCCCCTCGGCACTGTGGCCCCTCGTGTTTGACCCCTCGGCCCCTAGCAGCGGCCCCGGTGCCCCGTGCCTCCTTGGCCCCTCGGCCCCCCCCACCCTCGTGTTTGGCCCCTCGGCCCCTCGGCCCCTTTGGCCCCTCGGCCTCGTGTTTGGCCCCTCGGCCCCGCCCCTCGGCCCCTCGGCCCCTAGGCCCCTTGGCCCCTCGGCCCCTAGTCCCCTCGGCCCCTCGACCACTAGGACCCTTGGCTCCTCGGCCCCGCCACCCTCGTGTTTGGCCCCTCGGCCCCTAGGCCCCTCGGCCCCGCCCCTTGTCCCCTTGGCTACTGCTACTGCTGCTGCTACTCCTGCTGCTACTGCTTCTACTGCTGCTCCTGAGTGCTGCGCCACTATGGCTTCGCTAAGAGTTCTAGCGTTCGTTCCTGAGGGTTGACCGGTTGCATTTGACACGTGGCATGACGATCTGCAACTGTACCTACTAAGCGATATTAAGGACAGTGTCTCACTGTTTGACCACGTGTCCGGTGTCGCTCCAGCCCCTCCCGCCACAACTGACGGTGCGACTGGTTCCCAGTGGCTGTCTCGTGACGCTACTGTCCGCTTAGCCATTCGCAACCACCTGCCGGTGGCCAAATCTACTCACTTTGGATAGCACAGGAGAGTACAGGCCCTGTATGACGCTGTAGTTGCTCGCTACTCCTCCCCTGCCACTGCCGCTCTAGGCAGACTGCTACTGCCCTACCTGTTCCCTGAGCTGTCGGCGTTTGCCACAGATGACGAGATGGCATCATGAAGTCCACAGGCACCTATGTCGACGAAGTTCCCCTGTCTCGGGCGAACATAGTCGATGGCATGTGGATTCTCAAGGTGAAGCGGCCGCCGGGTTCTCCGCCTGCCTTCAAGGCGCGTTACGTTGCTCGAGGCTTCAGTCAGCGACAGGGAGTTGACTACTTCCAGACCTTCTCCCCCACCCCGAAGATGACTACTCGTCAGGTGTTGCTGCACGTTGCTGCTCAGCGTGACTACGAGTTGCACTCTCTGGACTTCACCACAGCTTTCCTGCAGGGCAGCCTGCACGAGGAGATCTGGCTGCGCCGACCACCTGGTTTCACTTGGACGTTTCCTGCAGGTACCTAGTGGAGCCTTCGCCGGCCAGTCTACGGTCTTCGCCAGTTGCTCGCGAGTGGCATGACACACTGAGGACTACACTTGCAGCTCTTGGGTTTGCTCCTACTACTGCTGACCCGTCGCTGTTTCTACGCACCGACACGTCGCTGCCGCCGTTCTACATCCTCGTGTGCGTCGACGACCTCGTCTTTGCCACTGCTGACACTGAGGCACTGACCCTTGTGAAGTCCGAGCTGCAAACGAGACACACCTGCACTGACCTGGGTGAACTGCACAGCTATCTTGGCCTACAGATCACCCGGGACAGAGCACGGCGCACCATCACACTGACTCAGTCACACATGGTGCACCAGGCCCTTCAGTGTTTCGGCTTCCAATTCTCCTCGCCACTGCCCACTCCTCTGTCTACCAGCCACTCGCTCTCAGCTCCACCTTCGGACGAGTCCGTAGAGCCGAGTGGTCCGTACACAAAGCTTGTGGGTTGCCTCATGTAACTGATGACGTGCACACGACCTGACCTCGCGTACCCTCTCAGCCTTCTGGCTCGCTACGTGGCTCCCGGT